TTCTATCTTTCCTCATAGCATGATATCTGAAACTCACCATCCAGAGAGAAAGCACTTGTCAATAGTAATTGGAAGCGCTTACAACCTGAGACTTTCTTTACTTCATCTTGCGCTGCAGATTACAGGGATTTCTTTTGGCTGTAGCAGCATAGCATAATTCATTGAATCTTTCATCTTACTTAAAACCATACTTTGGGCACACGAAGTAACCTGTGATCTTTGTAGATTGTTGAATATGCTCTTATAACCTCCACAGTAACATTTTCGGAAGGCACATATTCATATATTCTATGAATAGCATAATACAAGAGCCTCACAATTACCGAAACGTTGGCAGGTTGCATGGAATGCCGCCCGCTTGGTCGTGCGAATTGCATAACAATATACCAAACCTCAGTCTTCGAGCAGCGAGCTGTGTTTATTCCTCTGTCATTATAAGGTGTTCACTGCCTATCAAATTCGTTTTTGATGTGAACGAGACTAAAGTTTGAGGAGTTTACACTTTGTAGCTCTGAAGTAACAAAACTCATTCCTATGATAGCCAACACCTTCGAACTTGATGAGAAAAGGGTTGGGACTGTGCAATGATGGGAGTGATATTCCACACATTCTGGTTATTATTTTCAAAGGCCTTACTTGTGTCGAACCATTACCAAAATAAACAGTATGCATAATTTACTTTTCGATCACTATGAAACCCTTTAGTGGAGGTACTGAGAAGCATGGTTCTGTTCACACAGTCTCATGAAAAGCGTAGCGTGGAGATACTTTCTTTCGCTCATAGCAATTACAGGCTGATATATACACGTTCAACTACCTACTCACAACCAATTATTAACTGTCTAATCTTCACCAAAAATACAAGATTGAACGCTGGTTTTCCGCATTTATCGAGTATCTGAATATGCGATAAATACCAGCATCATGCTTCCGATACCTATATATTCATCGACTTTCCAATTCAATTCTCCAGACTCCAGACGGTGTATTGTTCTCATGTTCACGAACACTGTTACCCGGAGGTCAAAATTATAGGAGGCCAGCTAGTTTTTGGTGGACTGGCAAATATCAGGGAATCTCTCCCACATTGCGAAAAGTCAAATTGATCACTTCAAGTCATAAAATGAGTTTGTTTCTCTGTGTGACAGTAGGGTGTAGATCCTATCCTCGAAGGAATGATTGTATCGTCATTATTTGAAGGCGAAGGCAATTAGGAAAAGTCTTTTTAGTGCCTAATAGATACTTTCAAATTCTCTCATTTACCTTCACCATTAATTGCATCTTTTCGGACAGAAGAATAGAATAGAAGCCTATAACATGATGAAGATATAACGTAGCTAAATCTATCTATGGTGGTAATGAAAACTTTGACCCTCAAATAGTATCAGAATCAGTCAGGATAGCTTCCATGAGAAACTAGAATTCCGTTCAAAATATTGAAAACCCGACACTGTTAGATTTGAGAAATATTTGTTCTCTGCATGTCTAGAATCTGGCTCTTCCGGAGTAGAACTTAAATACCTTCTGTAGAAATACGACGACTCCTCGGAATTCAAGCTTATTGAATCGCTTTTAATGAACTTGTCGTGAATCACTTTGGATAGTAAACCGCTAGATTCGATTATTTTGGTTCGGGCTACATTTCGTCTTCAGCTGTTAGAAATGGAGGGAAGCAAGGAAATCTCGTGGATGAATCGGGAGTCGCTCGGAGGATCTATCTCTCCTACAGGGGAGAAAGTTGAAAACAGTACATCGGGATAGAATATCTTGGACTATCGAAAATTTTCATTTTGATTACCAAGATAGATATTGTAAATCGAATTTTTACCATCATTCTTTCCAAGCAAGGACGATCAGTCTCAAGATGACTCTCAAGATGACTCTCAAGATGACTCTCAAGATGACTCTCAAGATGCGCGTTAAAATGGGCCACCATGTATGTGTTCTATGAAATTTATCAAGAACAAAAGTAAAGGCAGCATTTTACTACAAGAACCAGAGGAAGAGTTTACTCACTCATGTTTTTTTTGCGAGTGTGCAATCTTCAGATATTGAAATGAGAAGTTTGATTTCGTCGATATTTCAAACTCAAGAGCTTCCTAGGGGGAAAATGGCTATTGCTATCTTCATTTTTTGTAGATTGGAAGCATCTAATTAGAGTTTATTCTACAGTATCTAGGTATTCAGATATTCTATAGCATATCCGATGGGCTCACTCATATCATATCACAGCCCGATCACTGAGATGTGCCGGATGTTCGGCATTTAACATCAATGTAGATTCTGCCTGCGTTCAGCAATTCAACACCCATTATATAGCTTTGATTTAAACATTCGAGATTCAATATTAGATTTCACGAATGTTATACCCGTGGTGAAAATCATTTTGTGAAGATTTCAGTATCGAGTGTGGGTTCTGCTTGTCTTCTTTGACTTGTCGCTTATCACTACGAAAAGGAAATAGGAGGGTATATATATAATATTCCTCCTAAGATGGATATATACTATCACATGAATTCTACAATCCCTCCCATAAACTCATGTACACCTATTCAATCCAATCCACAAAACAAACAAACAAACAAACAAACCCGAAAGCCCGCCCGCCCAAAAACATCATCCAAGCAATAAACCTACAACCCCTTTCCAAAATATCCACGCGATACCATCACCAAAAACATCATTACATCATCACATCTATCTATACATCCATCCCCAGATCCGCCATATCTATACCATCTTCCCATTCCCACCCCAGCAAAAACTATAACCTTACTTTCACTACCTAATTAAAACTAGCAAGTATTAAAAAGACAGATACAGAATGAGATGAAGTTGACTATGCGTTATGTGGCGCCTGTGGATTCTATTATCACGAATACTGAGAAAGAAGAAAGTGAGTGAGCGCACTTTGAGATATTTTTCTTGGTTCGGAATTTGAGAAGAGGGGTTATGATACTATATACAGATATATACATACATACCCATACAGAAGCAATCATTCCTTCAAACAGCCCCCTCCAATCCTCTACGAAAACCAACACTTTTCACCTGTAAAGACAAGTATTTTTCTATCAATCAACCCACACCATCCAGCATCCAACTCCCAACATCCAGCATCCACTTCCAACTCCCAATTCCCAACTCCCACATCCACCATCCACCACAACCCCACAACCCCACAAACAGCAAGCGCATCACAAGCATCGCATCCTCCTCCTCCCCCTCCTCCTCCTCAACAAAAGTTCGCAAAAAACTCGCTCCCCCCCCCCAAAAGATAGGTATTTATCTAATTTGTTTTATATATATATTATAGCTATGAATATAATGTGATTATATTATATTATAACCGTTGTCTATTATAACTACCTATATACTGCACTATTCTATTCTTTAAGATTACTACACTAATCTTTACATCCCCCCTCCGGCCCCCCTTTCTCCTTTCCTAATTATTTATTTTTCAAGTCCGTTGCTATACTATATTATAACAAAGAAGAAGAAGAAGAAGAAGAAGAGGTCAACCATATAATATAATTATTATTAAATTTATCATTGAGTTTACTAGTTGAAATCTCTTTCTCTCTCATCTCTCTCATCTCTCTCCTCACCAAAACCTATCTAACAGACTTATATTTACTTCCTCTCCCCCATCCCCTCCCTTCCCCTCCCTTACTCTCCCTTCCTTATACATACCACTTTCCTTTCCTTTCATATCCCCTCCCCTCACTCTCCCTTCTCTTCCCAAATAACCTCAACCTCAACCTCAATTACAAACACAAACATAGACCTACCTATTCCAAAATATCAAATAAAAAACAATCTACTCACCTATCTATCTATTTATCCACCTATCTACTCATCTATTTATTCATCTATCTTTCTATCTATTTTTCTATTTACTTTTCTATCTATCTATTTATTTATCTATCTACCTACTTATCTATTCATCTACTCATTTATATAACAATTATACAATAACCCACTAACCTCTAATCAAACTCCAACTACCCTCTCCAACCCAAACACTAAATCAACACAACAAAAACCACAACAGAGTTCCATCTTCCACCCCATCCACCCCATCAAATCTATAACAAAAGTTCAAAGAACTCAATACTTTATGCATTTTTACATACATATATACATACATATACCAAGCAATCAGAGCACATGCGCAATTACCAACGACATAACTACTATTCACAACCATCACCATTCATTCATGAAAATTTCATAATTATATGATTTTTATTTCTTCACTATCTTCGCTATCTTCATCAACTTTTCTTTCGGTTCTCCTCTTCTCTCTCCTTAAATTCATCGCTTCCCTCCCTGATTCTCTTTCCTGGGAAATCAATTCCTTCATTTCATCTTCCACTTCTCACCGAAAAAAAAACAAAGTAAAAAAGGAAAATAAAAAGGTATAATTTTAAAACATTACTATCAAGCCTTATGTATGTTGCTTCCTCATTTTCGCCTCTACACATGCGAAATGAAAAGTCCATACACTAGGCGCTTGTAACCACGTAGAAAGGTATCAAGATTTGCTTCAACAATCTCGCTTGCTATTCTTCAAAAGAAATAAAAAAAATCAATTCCACGCTAATTCCATTTCTCGCAGCCTTTGTGTCGGTGACTGCAGATTTTGTTGTTTTCTTTTATCTTTGTACAAAGTAGGAGTAATGAGAAAAAGATTTCGAGTTGTGTTGTGATATGTCCGAAGAGTTTTGGTGTAAAAACATTAAGCTTGGCTGTAATGCGAAAATAGAAAGAAACGGGTGACGCCGCTGGATTTGCATAATTGCCGAAAAATTAAGAAAGCAAAGCGGATCGCTCCATGGAGCAATAAATGCATCACTTTGATATGTAAAACTCCAAATGGGTATGCTGAAACAATGAACAATGAAAGAAAAATAATGAAAGGCATATTAGCCTATCCAGAACGCCTTTAAACCAAGCCCCTTCCCTCCCATTGACGCCGTCATAATACTGTCATCTCAAATCATGGGTGCTTTTTCGGCTGCGGTTCGACCTTGACCAAGGGAACTGAATAGTTGTTGTGGAGGAATTCTTGACATTCCATTATTTCGGTCGTAACTATTTGTTGGTGCAGGCATGTAACCCTCACGTTTTCTTCTGATACGTTCTGCAAGTACACCTGCAACAACTATAAGGAATATTAATGCGAGAGAAATCGCTAAAGCGATAAGTACGACCAAGCCAACTGCAAGGTGACCGCCTAAAATGGTGTTAGAAATTTGTCCAATAAATTTTCATCGTCATTACTTACCTGATGATTTGAAGAAGTTATTTTCTTGTGAGAAAATATGTGACAGACTACCTCCGGTATTCGAGGTACTGCTTGTGAGAGCAAAAGGTTGAAAGGTGGTTCCATTGAAGAGAACTGCCGAGACATTACCAAAGGTTGGTAACACCATAGCACCTGTAAGCATCAAAATCTGATTGGAAGGAACAAGATCAGAGCTGTCATGATTTGATGAAAGAGGCATCATTTGAAGACCACGAATGACTGAACCACTTTCAAATACGTCCCCAACCGAGAGCCAGTTTTTACCATCATATTTCATAATGAAAGCTGAGCCATTTTTTGCAGTACCAGCTACCCAATACTCTGAAATGTCACTAGTGGCTGGGACAAGAGATGTTACTGTGCCTGGAATATTCTCTGCGCCAGTAGCGGTGGCCCATGTTTGAGCCTTGGTGTCGTAAATCGCTACGGATACATTGGCGCCGTCGACTGACAATGACCCGCCTACAATAAGAGAGGTATCGCTAGCCCAGAGCATAGTATTGACAGTACCTTCAAGATTTGTTCCTGGTCGATTCCATTGAGATGCAGACGCTGTGAATAGGCAAACACCTGGGCAATCTAATGATCCGGCTCGAGTGAAACTTCCACCAACATATAAATCACCAGTCTTCGTCCTCACCGCGATGTCGTTGACAACAACCGAGTTTCCGCCGAGAGCTGGTGTCTGTGATGAAAATGTCGAAGTCTTGAGATTGTATGAGATAAGACCATTAATTTGTCCTCCATTAACAGTCCCGGTAACAGAGCCCCCAGCATAAAGCATGTCATCTTTTATAGCCAATGCACGGAAGGTAGAATCTGCGTCGATTTGAGATCCGAGTCCAGTGACAGTGTTGTCATTCGCGCCATCAATGAAGACAAGGTTATTAACGTCGGTACCATTGGTAGAAGTTGCTGTGAAATGACCACCGAGAATTGTAACATTGCGTGAGCCATTCTCGTAGAAGAGTCCAGTCACAACACCACTAACATTTTGGCTAGCAGTGTTTCTTTTCGATAAGGTCGATGTAGACTGCGCTTGAGTTGCTTGAATTTTGACGGGGAACGGGCTTAGTCCTGATGCGAGAGAAACTATTCCATTGGCGCTGAGTTGCGAAGATGAGAGCGAACCAGCAAAGATGGCGTCGCCGGAAGCATTTACCGCGGCGGTGAGTTGACCGTTAATAGACATTGCCGCAATATCAAGATTTTGTAACCAATTGTCATGTGAGGGTACCCAAATGACAAAACCAGAAACTGAAACTGAAGAATTGCTTCCAAATGCAATGAGCTGGTTAAAATCTCCAGTCAAGGTAATGACATTCTCGGGTTTGTTAGCGGTAATATTCAATGATATTGGTACCACCGATGTGACCTTTCCATTGACACCGGCTCCTAGTGCACTCCATTTATTCTGCTTGATATCATAAGCGGCGATGTTGTTCAAACCTGCAGTAGTCGTTGAGCCTGAGTTACTGCTGAAGTTTCCTGCAACGTATAGGGTTGAGTCTTCAAGGAGCATAGTAAGGACCTCTCCGTTTAATCCTCTAGAATCTAATGAGTTAGGACCAGAGTCTGAAATTGAGAATACGTTTTCGTATCCTGTTGTGGAAAAATTACCACCAACGAAGATAGTGTCGCCAGAAGTTACAACAACGTTGACCTCAGCACCGGTATTGAGCTTCATACCAGCTTGATCGATCGTATTGTTGTGGAAATCGGAAGTATTGATGACACTTTGGCTTGGGTCGAATTCGAAAAGACCATTTAATCCTGTGCTAGTCGCGTTGTTCAAGATGAAGCCAACTCGCTGAGCTACAATAGTAAAGTTCTCTGAATTTCCAGGGATCTGACCACTTGGAGTGAGGGTGATTGAAGGGCGGAAGGTATTACTAGCAGCTTCGATGTAACCAGAGTATACTTGATCATACTTGTCGTAGTCATTAGATTGGAAGAGGGTAATGGGCGAGCCGAAGGTTGCGGAAGTGCTAGAAGCGTCACTAGCCACACTTCCATTTACAACAACAGAGCCTCTGCTTGTACATGTACTATCTTGAATGCATCCAGGGGTGTACATTTTCACTGTGTAGTTGCCCGACTCTCTGATATCAGGGTAGAATACCACAGAAGCTGAGCTTGCTGTATCTGCTGTAAATTTTCCAGTGAGGTACTCTGCATCACTTTGAAATGAGGGACTGATGGTCCAAGGGCCGGTCGATGTTGTGTTTGACGCAGTTGATAAAGAAGCACAGGTAGGCTCATTGAAATCGTTAATAGCATAGGAAAAAATGTCATCCTGGAATAACTCAATGCCATTCAGGCCACCTCCACTGCCGTACCAAGCAGAGATATCAATCTGAAAAGCATCCATACCAACCGAATTCACAAAGTGAAAGTCCTGATATGGAATACTAGCATTGTTGCTCAAAGGGCATTCCGATGTACATGTTGCATTAGCACCTGTAGCTGGATCGATGTAAGTAAAGTTCATGATACCGTTTATTGGCTGAGCCGTATATCTCCAAGTTTTGGTACCTCGACCACCTTGGTGCGTATTCCGTAGTCTCAACTTGGTAGGCTGGAAGCCAAAACCAAACGTAGCTTTCCACCAGCCAGCAGTATCATCCTCCAATAACCAAGTATTTCCAGAGCCATCGACACCATTAGTCTTGCAAACAATGTTTGTTGGATCGTCAAAGCCCGTAGTTGTGGCTGTGCCACTGCTTGTGATGTTGGCGCCAGAAATGTTGACAATTTGCTGATCAGTTGCATTACTAGGTTTGCTGGTAATAGTTGCAGTAGAATTTCCAAGTCCTGTGAAAGTTCCCCCAAAGATGATGTTTCCGTTCGACGCCTTCGAGATCGAATTGACCCGACCGTTAAATCCAGAGAAAGGTAGGGCGACCAAGGTGTTGTCCACCAACTTGATTACGTTTGAAGAATTTGTAGAATCAAAGTAACCTCCAATGTAGACTGCATTTGTGGTCTCGTCGCATAAGAGTGCCGAAACTGACCCCGATAATCCAGGGAGTGCAGTGATTGCCGATGTATTTGAATTGAACAATGCAATACCTTGCGATTCCACATTTCCTAAGCTCGTAAAGTTACCTCCAATTACTACCCCCATGAGTGTCCCATCCGATTTGACGTACGGACACATGGCTGCGATTGAAGCGTCGGCCGATGCCAAGGAATCGAATTCACCCGTTGGAAAGCGTACCATAACGGATTGGGTGGTAGTATTGTAGCCATCTTCGTTTTGACCGACGTATTTGTATAGCGAAATACCATCAAAATCTCCACCCAGTCCTACACGTCCCAAATTCGAAAGATCGAGGTTGGCGGATGGAGCCGGTTGAAAAGTGATGGCAGTCGTTAATGGCGTTAAGGTCAGTAAAGAAGAGAAGGCTATTATGGATGGCGAATTCCTAGCTGATGGATTCAGCCATGATGAGAACCTCATTGCTGTTCCCCTCTAAAAGTTATTAATAAGTGATTATTCGTGTCGCAAAAATCGTGAGAATTAAAAGCTCGATGGCTTCTCCTCCTCCACTTTCGTGAATAATTGCATTGACTTGACGCGCAACGCTTAAGCCATTTAATTGTCCTCTGGTATGGTGTATAAATCAATGGAAAATTCTTCTTGCGTGGATATATTAGAGAATTGATATTCCGTCTATCAAAGCATATAACGAGCGTAGGGTTGTGTTGTGTTGTGTTGGTGTTTAAAGGTGGAATGGAGTCGAAGGAATCTAAAGTGATAGACAGTAATCTCACTCACAGACAGAAAAGGTAAGTCGACTTGATTGGATGAGACTAGATTCGCGTATTGGGCTAATGAGAGAGATTAAGTATGGGATTAACTTTTTTTTTTGTACCAGCTTTGTGAATGGTGAGCCTCGGGTGTTCAGGAACCAGGAACCAATTTCAAACTAATAAACGGGCGGTTATTGTTAGGATAATCCTCCTTGGTCGGTGGTCGTTGATAAAATCAATCTCTTTCTCAACGATTGTGCGTGAAAATTTAGAGATCAGTCTGTAAGGGAGGGAGATGATCTATCAAACGTCTGTTTCTTTCTTTTTTTGAATGATGTTATGTGGTTGGTGGCATATGCCGGTATTATTATCGCTCGATTGGATTGCGCAGTCTGTGAAACTAGTTGGGAAGTTTGGTGGAGTGTTGTCTTGGGGCAGAATTGCTGTGTAAAGGATGCCAAGCGAGATTGAGATTGGTTGTTCAAATTGAAGGCTGATTGATGGCGGATTTGAATCCAATGGTGGTGGGTGAATCTGGTGGGTGGATGATACGAGAACGGTTAAAAACGTTAAAAAGAAAAGTGTACTGGATGAATACCGTTACGATCGACTGCGTGTATACGTGAAGGTGTATGTGAAGTGTATGGTGTATGTTGAAAAATGAGTGTATGGTTGACGATGAATTGATTGAACTTGATACTTGAGATTCTGTTGTGCTTCAAAATAGAAGAGAGAGAGAAGTTAGTTCTGTTGTAGCTAGGTATCCTATCTCCATCTTGGACCCTGGTTCTCGGTGTCTCTTTTTCCTTTTCTCTTGCATATGTGAATGTGAATAAAGCGCAGCACTGCATTTTTGGGCAAACGGGCCAGGCATAAACAGGGGCAGAAATTGTGACACGTACCGGTATCGTACAATGTTTGGGCAGCCAGCAGTGACAGGACAGGACAGGACAGGATAGGACAGGATAGGACAGGATCAAGAACAACAAGATCGATTGATTAAAAACACGACACGCGAGAAAAGAGAGTTCTGATAAGAAAAGACAGTGTTTCTGATTTGCAGAATGAGAAAAAACGAGTGACGACTAAAGTGAGTGTGAGTGAGTGTGAGTGTGGGCGTGAGTGTACGGAAAATAGAAATTGACAGAGTTGACTTTTTTCTGATGGTTGGTACCACTTAGGAGTAAAAGAACATTTGGGGAATGGTGGGAAGATGAGAAGACGAGGGAGATGGATGGATGGATGAGCACAGAGTCTGAATGGCTTGGATGCTGAGCATAGCACTGATTATTATTATTATGACTAGGGATCTCATTATTGTACATTTTCAGATGATGATGAAACTATCAAGGCACATCCCATCTCTCTACTTTCCTAAAAGGGATTCAAATGCTCCGTGTGATTGGGGAGACACTTCTTCAATAAGCTTTTGCTTTTGATTTATTGGATTGATTTGATTCTCCACTGAACTCGTAATATCGTATAATGAGAAACTACGAAGAGAACTATGAATAGATTAAATAAAGATCTAGGTCGTCACCATTTATGAAGATATGCAACATTGATTTGTGTGAGAAACATTTAATTGCTTCCGCATGAATCTACTGTGTGATACTGTATGATACTGTATGATACTGTTGATTACCTAGGCACGTGTGAGGCATGCAGTAGTAGGTACTCACAACACATTATGTTATGCTGTGCAGTAGTAAGATCTTACATTCTTCACTTATTATTATTATTATTAGTCAGGTTGCTATGGATCTATTCTTAAGAATGGAATGCTGGAATTTCCCTCTCTCTTCCTACCCAGCAACCAAATAGATCCCCAACTTCTCAAACATCAATAGATATAAAACTGTCTCCAATGCTTGTTACAAACATTGCCTGCCTGCCTGAGGATAAATACTTCTCAGATGATACCTACTACCTACGACCTACGCATAAAGAATCTTATGATGGTTCAGGTTTATCCCTTCCCAATAAATCATCCTTCAAAATTAAATGTCATGTACTAGGTTGGTAGGTATTTATTTCAACCTTTACCTTTGTTCTGTCAATCATTCATTCATTCATTCATTCATTCCATTAATCATTTTACCCCTTTAAAAGAACATTCTACAATATCCATCTCAACATCTATATCAATTGTCTACTATTAATACTAGGTAATGATAACAATAATACCAAAACTCAAATTTCTTTCATTCATTCATCTTCTCAATAAACCGATGAATAAACAATATACGGGGTATCTATAATAATCTATCATGCTTCTTCCTTCCCTCCCTCCCTCTTTCATTTCATCATATTTGCTGCATCCGCCGTGCGGGTCTTATAATCTCTTGGGCTTTCGTAATCCTTTTTCTTCCCCGACCACATACCCAGTTTCTTCCTCTTGGCCTCTTCTTCAATCGCGCGATACTGTGCCTCGAAGTCTCCGAATTCCGCTCCCATCTTCGCCTCATACACCGTAGCCATGCCCGCCCGCAACATCTCCCTTCCCACATCCTTGCGCACGAGAAATCGCCGCACCCACACTGTAGCCACCACCCGATCATACTGGTCGCGTTTGTAAATGTACGCGCGCACGCGTCGATTCTGAATATATTTCCGCAGCCAGATCAGCGCTTCGGCGGAAAAAGGTTGCGCCGGTTTCCCAAAATGCGCTCCTTCGGGTGCGTCGATGCCGGCGATTCGAACGTGGATCTGAGGATTGGTTAGCTCGTGAAAATTGCGATACGCCAACACAACAGTGTGTGAATCCTACCGTCTTGTTCTTCAAATCCTTTCCCTCGGGTAACTGCTTGCGGCCGGGCATCCATCCCCAGCCCGCCAGCCTCCCACCAGGCGTGTGAAAAAGGTGAAAATTATCCGCATCGCCCACTCTCGTGACCGTTCCAAATAAACTCCTCTTCCTGAAGAATCCGGGTCGAATATATGCAGCTTCAGGAATGCGACGTAAATAAGAGCGATAGAAGCGCGTGGAAACTAAAATGGTGGTGGTCAACAAAATGGTCGGTATCAAGGTTCGCGGATCCGTGTAATGCTGCCAGTCCGTGGCATTGAGATTGTCGCCCCATGAGAAGGAGGACCGAGTGTCATTTTTTTCTTCCTTCTTGGATTTTGAAGAAAAATCTAGCCATCCCATAGTGTCGGCGGGCAGTACCAGTCTGGAAATGATGTGGAAGTGGGGAGGTTGCTGCTGCTGCTCAATGCTGAGACAGGGGTCATTTATGATCCGAGCTTCGGGAAAAAAAGTGACATTGATATTCAAACAAACACGCAAAAAGTTATCAGATGAAAGGCCATTGTGAGCTAGCAGACGACCTTGGAAATGTCCAAGAGCTTCTGAAACAACGAATTGATAGTTGGACTGTGTTTATGTGTGCTGAATTTCTATAGCAAAGTTCCTTAATCTAATGAAAAGTATCTGTGTCCAATCTGATATGGTTTACATTTGTTGTACAAATTATACAGCTTCCGAATGCTTACAATTTCCTCCTCTTCGCTCTGACACTTCTTGCCGATGGCTCAAAAACTTTTACTTCATCCTTGATTTCGAGTTCCTCCGTAACTCCTTCGCGCTTGATCACTACTTTCTCTTCCTCTTTCAAATCCATCTCTTCTGGTGGATACTCTCGCTTGACTGTCACTTTCTTCTCCAGCACATCCCCATTCTCCTGCTTGATCTCAAGCTCATCAACTTTAACTTCGACCTTGCTGACAAGTTTATCAGAAAATGCTTTCAAATCCGCCGCGAACAAGACTGAGTGCGCCCAGCCAGCCTCTTTACCCCACAACCCTCTAAAATGATCACCAATCGCATCGTATGTAGCTTTGGTAAGACTCTTATGTTTTCCTTTTCCAAATTTGTAGTCCCTTTGAGCAATTTGCCAAACGTGAGTGTCCACAGGGACCGCCTCTCCCCACCCCAAGCCCATCAAGCAAACGCAATCAGCTACTTTTGGACCCACACCTTGAAGCTCGAGAAGCTCTTCATGTGCTTTTCTATACCCAGGACGTCCTCCTGCGGGAAGTTTCCCTTCAAAGGGTACGTCAAAAGTCTCTGGATTGCGAAGACTTTCGAGCCAGCCTTTTGGCTTCGATGCCACAATTGATGCTGTTTGGGCAATGTACTTTGCTCGATACCCAAAGCCTAGAACGCGGAGATGTGACTCTACTCCAGGACCAATTAAGGCTTCAGGTTGTGGGAAGTCATGGAATGGCTGATCATCAATATGTCCTATTAGGGGGCCATAATGTAAACACAAATTATTGACCTAAATTAGAATGATTAATAAGATCATCGAAATCCTGAGATCAGAAACATACCATTTGAGAAATTCTTATAATATTATTGTTGCTGCTGCAAATAAAACCTACCAAAGCCTCCCAAGCATCTTGTTTGAGAATACGAACTCCTGTAAACTTAGGTGCTCTTTTCTTGAAATTTGGATCGACTAAAGACCATTGTTCATACAATTCAGTCAAGTTTGGTGAAAGGTTCAAGTAATGCCGAAGTAAAGATTCTGTGTCATCCTCATCTTCAAGCTTTTCCTTCTTTACTAAAGGCTGATGATTCAAAGCAACTTTGATCTCAGGAAATATTGTGCGATAGTGAAGATGAGTTGAGTCCTGTTTAAGAGATATTATACGGCCATGTAGTGTACAAAACCTACTCGACATTAACCCCCTTTCTTTCAACTACAGTACAAGAAGGAGAGTCACGTACCAATGATCTTCACCTACAGCTTTCTTCCACCGAAAAGATTGTCCACAACGTAATGTAGTATCTATACAAAGCTCTGCCAAACTCACTGGAAGCTTCCTCCATTCTGAGATCCTTAAATTGCCCATTGTGAGAAAGCGATTGTGATTTCATGGGGGTTGGGTGAAATCCACCTTGGCGCGCTTTACAGGAGCAACGTTTCTAATCTTAGCGCGAAATTCGAATGAGATTCGCGACAGCTTCTACAAAAATTCCACCTCGGATTTGAGCTTGTCAATCAACCACAATCAAAATCGCACGCATTCAATTTTTTTCCGAAAAAATATTCTGGATCGCAATTAACAATATGAACGGCGATACTTATTCATCAAGAGGCATGGCACCTTCAACGACAAAACCTAAACGGGAAGATGGAGCTACTACTGACAAGAAAGCATCAACAGATCGACATGGTTCGTCTAGAGATTATCATGTAAGAATGCTTCATCAATTATTTCAAGGTCAATTTATCTAACATATGGAAAATAAAGTCCCGAGATGACCGACGTGGTGGTGATAGAGATCGAAGACGCTCGCGCTCTCCAGGACATCGAGGCTCCAGAAATTCTCGCCGCGATGGAGAATTAGATTCACGGGGTGCGGATTCTTACTCAACGAGTCGCGAATACAGAGAGCGGGAACGTGAAGATAGGTATTCCGGCAGGGAAAGAAGAGGTGGTGGTGGCGAGAGAGAGTGGGATAGAGATCGTGGAGCAGCAAGACGAGATGCTAGAAGGGACGATGATGAAAGACCGCCGCGCAGAGACAACAGAGATTTATTCGACGATAGACGTGGTGGCGGAGGTGGTAGAAGGGGTGGTGATCGAGGCGACCGAAGAGATCGTGGAGATCGTGGAGATGCCGACGGAGGATTCGCAGCTCAACGAGCCGCAAAGCGAGACAAGAGTCCAACCCCCCCACCAAAGAAGAGAGAGCCCACACCAGATTTGACGGATGTTGTGTCAGTTTTGGAGCGCAAGAGGAGATTGACACAATGGGATATCAAACCGCCAGGATATGAGAATGTTACTGCTGAGCAAGCTAAACTTTCGGGCATGTTCCCACTTCCAGGAGCACCACGACAACAACCCATGGATCCAAGCAAGCTACAAGCTTTCATGGCACAACCTAGTGGACAAGTCACTAACGCAGCCCTCAAACCTTCAAACTCCAGACAATCAAAACGTCTCCTTGTTCATAACATTCCTGCTGATACCAAGGAAGAGACTATTGTTAGTTTCTTCAATCTTCAGCTTAATGGATTGAACGTCATAGAGGGTTCTGATCCTTTAATCTCAGCACAAGTTTCGAAAGATGGCTCATTTGCTTTACTTGAATTCAAAACACAATCTGATGCTACTGTTGCTTTAGCATTGGACGGAATTACCATGGATGGCAATGACCATATGGAAACAGGAAATGGCTCCGCAGATACCCGAGGTCTTTCCATTCGTCGTCCAAAAGATTACATTGTACCAGCAGTTACTGATGAAACACCATTCGAGCCAGGTGTAATTTCTAATGTTGTAGCTGATACTCAAAACAAAATCAGTGTTACTAATATTCCTCAATATTTGAATGATGAGCAAGTTACAGAGCTATTGGTATCTTTCGGAGAGTTGAAGGCTTTCGTCTTGGTCAAAGATAGCAATACAGATGAATCACGAGTAAGTTTACTATTATATGTTCTCAACCAGATACTAACATGGTTTAGGGAATTGCTTTCTGTGAATATGTGGATCCTGCTGCAACAGATATTGCTGTTGAGGGTCTTAATGGTATGGAACTTGGTGATAAGCATCTCAAAGTTCAGAGAGCTAGCATTGGTAACACCCAAGTATCTGGTTTGGAGATGAGCGTCAATGCTATGTCTATGCTTGCTGGTACTACATCACAGGATCTCGAAAATGGCAGAGTGTTACAATTACTCAACATGGTTACTCCTGAAGAACTCATTGATAATGAAGATTACGAGGGTAAGTTTTAATTGTTCATCTATTTGAATGTTTACTGATCAATCACTTAGAAATCTGCGAAGATGTAAAGGAAGAATGCGAGAAATATGGCAAAGTTCTGGAAATGAAAGTCCCAAGACCAACTGGTGGCAGTAGACAGTCAACTGGGGTTGGTAAGATCTTTGTGAAGTTTGACACACCAGACTCAGCAGGAAAGGCTCTCAAGGCCCTCGCGGGTAGGAAATTCGCAGATCGTACAGTCGTTACTACATACTTCCCAGAGGTAATTCTGCACTTTTTTCTTTTTCATTCAAGACATTGCTAACCTTCGTCAAGGAAAATTTCGAAGTCGGCGCCTGGTAGATAGTTCATCAACATACCGAAATTATCACCACGATCCTTTCTCAAGGTCCTTACTTATCTCCCTTAGTACTCATTACTCACAAACTGATGTAATTCCAAAATTCATTTACAAAGCGAAGTTTTTCTTCCTCGTCACACAAAATACTACACCTTCTGTACTTTTAGCATCATAGCATCCATGGGCGATCTTTTATTTTGGTATTCTCACTGTCACTGTTTCAGTCGCAGGATCGATAGGAGTCTTTATATGACTCGAGAAAAGCAAATTAGTCTACTACCTACCTACCTACAGTTTACCATAAGGTTCTTTTGTCTTCGATTTAACTGATTGAGAGTCTCTTGCGAGATACCTACCTAGCTTTAGCGTGAATTTCGATTGTCGATTATGTTACTAATGAAATCTGCTGGGGGGCGCAAGGGGGTATGTATATATATATATGTATGTATGCTTATGCTTTATGTTGATGATGGTGAAGTTTTTGAAGTTGAAGTTGAAGTTGAATGCGATATTTGATATTTGATTCTGATTATTTTTGATGACAGTTTGTGGTTGTGTTTGTGAATGTGTGTGTGTGTGTTTATATTCATATATATTTCATATTCTGTGAGTAAATGAATGATTGAATCCTTGGAGGGAAGAGTAGATTAGATGGAGGGAGGGAGGGAGGGAATGAGGAATGGAGGAACGAATGATTGGTTGGTTGGTTGATTGACTGGCTGGTTGGTTATTAATTAAGTATTTAGGTAGGGGAATGGAGTTAGATAATTGAAATTGATTGATTGGTTGATTGCTTAATAGAGACATTCAAAGTCTTCTTTCTATCTAAATAAAGTCATTTGACGGGGTAGATAGGTACATAGGTACATAGGTAGGGATATAGAAGTGCTAATTCTTGTGCTTAGGGTTAGGGTTGGGATTAGGGTTTAAGGTTGAGAAGTAGGGATTAAGGTGTGAGGTTGAGATTGAGATTAAAGCTGAGGTTTAAGGTGTGAGGTGTGAGATGGATGGTAGACATTGAATAATGGATGATAGATGGTTCTTGATTATCGAATATCTAATACATGATATACCACTTCAAACGGTTTGGTCTATTGATACAATATAAGATGAGATGAGATATGAAAATCTTGATATATGTATGTATTATGTATATGTGCTCGAGAGATAGCTGGAGATGGAAATTAGATGTCTACATACTAGTATCAATACTATATATATCTTGAACTTGACGGTCTAGTCTTGAATTTTGATGGTGTAGATGTGATATTTGTGCGGAAAGAGAAGGGGTTTTGTGCTTAGGGCTTGAGTGTGGGAGGGGGAGGGGGAGGACTGAGAATCGCTCGGTTTAGCTGGTGAGTTTAGTTTAGTTTAGTGCTTGTAAGGAAAGAAAGAGGAGGCTGAGAATGCTGGAGAAAGGGATAGGTAGCTCGGTGGATGAATAAATAAGTGGGCTGGTGAGTTAAGTTATTCCATATTTACTGTATATAATTATAGAATATCTACTTACTTATTTATTCACGCATATGAAGATATTGAGATTAAACACTTAATCGGTCAGTTAGTTGATGCTTGATGATTGATGATTGTTGGAATGTTGTTGTTGGTATTTGATATCACTATATTACGGGTTAGTGAAGATAATATGGTACTGGATATGATTCATGCTATTTAGATTTTGCTAAGGGGATGAGAGATATGAAGATGAAATAAAATTATATGTTGTAGGGTCGAGATGCAGGAAGGTCATAAAGTGTCTACTCCAATAGTTGTAGATGTTTGTTGATTGTGGTGCTGATGTATGATGTATTATGTATAAGATTGGATTCTTGAATGGTGGAGAGGGAGAAGGTTGGGGGAGAGAGATTCCTTACAAGATGTCTATAAGATAGATGGAATTACAGTAGAAGAGAGAAGCGAAGAGGGAGAGGGAAGGTGTTAGAGGACTTTTCTCTTCAGTTTTCGTTTGCAGGCACGATTGAAAATGAATCTGAGTTCGAAAGGTGAGTTGGAGTGGATTAGAAGTTTGGGAGTTTATAGGGGTTGAATGGTTGAGGGATGATGTGTGCACTTATTACTTTTCTTCCAAATGTAATGTGGTATCAAGCTTATATTATGTAGCGGGGGGTTATGGTAATATAAAAACTAGATAGGAGGAAGAAGTATGTGATATCGAAACAAGTGTAAGTATACTAATACGGAACCTGTCTTTCATCTCTTTAAGTTTTCATTCCTGAGAGAGAGATGAAGAGTGAGAAAAGATGTACAGTGTTATCATTTCTGTATATATACAACTCTCTAGAGCCTTAAGCCTTGAAGTTTAGAAAATGGCCTCCTATCTCGGTTATATTCAGATCTATTATTGAATCTCGAAAGTAGTATCGAGGTACGCTCAGATACTGTATCATTTTCAAGGCTAGTTCTTAGCGGAAAGATGAAATCGAATTTAGACAAATAGATATCTATTCTCTGTGCGAAATTGTGTTTGTTGCAATACGAGTGAATATACGCATGTGAGCCCTAGTTCACTAGCGCACGCACGTATTGCATGTACCCAGCTTTCGTAGCTCTAGAACCTAGAACAGTTTAGACACAATGTCAATCAATACAGTATACCTATCATGAAGACGTCATAATCACCACCGAGGTGATACCAACATCATTGCTTTGAAGCTATCTGAGTAAATATGATTGATTGGTAAAATGTACTTCATAATTTCAGATAGATGTAAAGAGGAGTGAGGAGTGAGGGGGCTGAGTCTTTTGTTCTGTA